TATGAGGGTATTGATAAGGTGACGAGTTGTGGCATGATTAATAAGTATAAAATAAGAAATTGAAAGAACATAAGATTAGTTGGACTAAAATCTTTGTTAAGGAAAAAGGGGATTTTGAGGAAAGCTTACAATTAAATACTGAAAAGAGATGATAAATGTGTTTTTCTTTAAAGTGCAATTTCTTGTAGTGTGATAAGGTGACGAGTTGTGGCATGATTAATAAGTATAAAATAAGAAATTGAAAGAACATAAGATTAGTTGGACTAAAATCTTTGTTAAGGAAAAAGGGGATTTTGAGGAAAGCTTACAATTAAATACTGAAAAGAGATGATAAATGTGTTTTTCTTTAAAATGTCAGGTGGAATTTTGTGAAAAGAGTATCTAATTATGTAATCTATTTTGCATATTCAATGGTACATTATTTATGTATGTATCACCTGATAGCATTCATGATCGCATATATCTATTGATCTTATTGTTGAGAATTACTGTAGATCTGTACTAGATCTTGTGTTCATCCCATGTTGTTTAAACATTTTTATAGGAATGAAGTATGAAACCGCAATTTGCAGATCCAAGAGTTATTATTTATTTTGTTTGAGTTTATCTTGTGTAAATTGTAAATGATTGATTGAAGGGTGGCGATGTTGGAGTGGTTCTTTCGATGTATTCATTTTATCTTGAAATCTTCCATGTAAGCCCATTGGGGTATGTATAATTGATTGTGTTTAACATTCATTCATTGCAATTATGAGAGAGAGAGAACTTCATGGTGTTTCTATAATTATGATTGGAAATGGTCTTTTAGAACTTCATGGTGTTTCTATAATTATGATTGGAAATGGTCTTTTATAAGGAATTTGGTAAATTATCCAAGTAATAAAAATTGGGGGCGTGACACCATTAATAAGGGGTAGTGCTAGATTGGTCGTGTGAATGAGATGGCCCAAGTTGTTCAAATGATGTGGATTGCTTATGTGGCGTTGATGTGGAATATAATTTTTTTTATTATTATTTTGATATTATATCTAGTTGTTGTTGACAATAGATGATTTCTTAAGTTATTTTATTAACTCTTTTTATAGTAAATTCTATATCTTTAGCAATACCAATATTTAGTAGATTTTGTAAAAAAAATTATGTCGTTGTTGACGGTTTACTATTAATACTATTATTTGAATATAATCTAACAATAGATCCTGAATATAGAAATGGTGATAAATACTAATAAAAAAAAAAACTTTATTATTGATACTTCTTATATTATTAAGATGTTTTGATTTAGGCTAACTATACTTTCAAAATAAGAACAGTATCTAAAGATTTCGATTGTTAGCTGAACGTAGTCGGTGCAGGGTTCTGGCGTTATCAAGCTTCCAGTTTACAGAGGTGGTTAACATTAACCTTTACTTACTTAGATCAAGCTCAACACATCTATTTCTTTTCATACCTTAGGTCGTAACTTCAGAAATTGTTTCTTTGATTATGTAGGAGACCTAAGATCAATAATTTGACATACAGTAGTAGCACACTCTTTTTTGGAAAATAAATAAAAAATTTATTGAACAAAAATTTACAAGGAAATGGGTGCTTGTAGACTGTTAGATTGCTAGAGCATTGTTTGCTCTAAGAAGGCTTGAGAACTAGACTTTTTTTCTTAGTTTCAAGTATGCTCTAAGTAATCTGTATCCCTTCTAGCTTTCCCTTAAGGCCCTGATATGGATACCTTATGGACTTCAAGTTTGGACTTTAGCCTAATCTATAAACATAAAATATTTTACATATTATATTTTATTGTTGTTAGAAGACAAAAAAAAAAGGCAAGTAAGCAGTTGGTATGGTTACATGGTGATCGCATATTATTTATGAACAAGAAACATCTGGTGGTGTAGTCACATAGAGGTGTAATCTTTTCAAACCATGGTTTTGCCAAACTGCCCATAGTTTTGTCAATCCATTGCATTTTCTAGATTTCATACCCCCTCATCACCCATGACATCATTAAGATCATAATTCTCATAATATTCTTCAAACATTTCATTATATCCTTCTCGATCTTACTCCATCTGTAGCAACCCTGATTAGTAATTTGTCGTTAATCTGTAATTAAGAATGTTAATTAAATGATTAAATAAAATCATGTGTTAATTGTGTGATTTGCATGTTATTTGTGTTTCTATCTGTCTGTCGTAGGATTATCTGTTTAGAATTTTGTTTCGATATGAAAATTGAAGGCCTTATCAGCATCCAAACACGAAATTGACTAGGTCAATGCATAATTTAGAATTTTTAGAATATTATGGTAAATTTAATTAGAAATTGATTCAGAATCAAATTATTAAAATAAATTCATTAATAAGTTAGATTAGATTAACTCTAATCACATTAAATTAGCTTAAACTAATCCAACCTATAAATATGCAAATTATGAGCTAAAGTCTTATATCATGAACTCAAAATTTGTCTAGAGAGCTGTGGAGAAAGAGAGAAAATGTGAGAGAGAGCGAGAGAGAGAGAGAGAGAGAGAGAGAGAGAGAGAGAGAGAGAGAGGGAGACAGGAATTGGATTCAAACTAGAAAAGGAAAGAATTGAGGAGAATTGGGAAGATTAAGCTCCTACACTTACAAATTCAAGACTTTAGGTGAGAATTCAACCTTTAAGCTTTGTATGGGAAGCATTAGATGCATGAATTCAAGAGAATTAAAAAGACTAATATAAGAATTGAGCTTAGATTATGGAATTTGAGATTAATACATGCATGCATGCATAGTTCATAGATTTTAAGTTTAATTTCCAGCCAATTCTCACATTCAAGTGTTTATTTTTGTTAAAGTATAAGAGCTCAACGAGATGTTATATATATCACTTCATATATTCATATTTGAAGAAGAAAGAACTCCAAATAAATACATGCATGTTATATACATAAAGTTTCAAGCATGGTTTTGAAGAATTGATTTGGTTTTGGACCTTGATTTTGTGAATTGATCTTAATTTCATGTTTTTACACAATTTTCTAAATGTTTTCTTAAGTTTTGGCCCAAAAGAATGTGCTTTGATGCTTTGAAATGGAGTTTTGAATTTAGGAAGAAAATTTGGAAATTCTAGAATTTTGCTTCATTGCTCGAGCGGTGAACTTTTCGCTCTCGCGCACTTTGCATGCTCTCAGTGCTTTTGTAGATATATGGAGTTGGCTCGAGTGACCAAAGCTTCGCTAACGAACTCACCTTCGCACAACACTTAGCTCGAGTGACCAAAAGTTGCCCGAGCCTAAATCATCAGCATCTAGAAGTTTTGTAGACCAAGGGGTCTGCTCGAGCGACTAAAGCATCGCTTGAGCGAACTGTCCTATTTTCTAAAATTTTGCTAAGTGTTTCAAAGTGCATAATTGCATCCTCATTCCATTCTAAGCACTCGTAAGCCATGGTTTAAGCCACAATAATAAGGAAATGAATTAGAAACACACTAAGAAGAATTCAATTACGTTTAGCAATATACAAAGTACGTGTTTCAATGTATATTTGTTATGTGTTTGTGTAAGTCGCTCGCTACCGTTTGTCTGATCCATCTGATCTGTCTGACCTGTATCTGGAGCTATCAATAAGTAACAACTCTGTAAAGATATGTTTGCACTTAAGTTATTTTCTAATTAAGTTACTCTACTTTTTGGAAATAATAATTTCTGTATAAATGAATGAATATCCAGCTTTCTGAAATGTAATAGTGGCATCCTTAGCATCTGTCATGTGATATTTGTTATCTGTTACCTAGTACTAGGAATTCTTGTGGGTTCCAATCATGGAACTATCTGTTAAGATTATGCAGAATATCTGTCTAATATGATATGGGTCTTTATGACCATCTACTCTACACGTGCACGTGGGTCTTATATGACCATTCTATTCTGTTAGCAAATGAATGTACCATGTATGTCTGTTTACAAATCAGAATATGAATATGAATATGAATATGTTTTTTGATCTGAATTTTGATTTCCGAATCTGGTGTGGACATCATTCATAAAAACCTTTACTCTGTTGTTATTCACTGGGCTCCAGCTTATTGTTTATATTATGTATGTAGGTGATCAGGCAAGTGACCAGGTTTAGAACTTCAAGTTTGGATCTATTCTGTTAAGTTAACCACTGTGACTCATGAGGAGGTTGTAATGACTCGGATTTTTTTTTAAAAAAATCATTACACAATTTAATTGAATGGTTGTTGCACCACGTGATTAGTCATATTTGTTTTATATTAAAAGATCATTTGTAAATGGTTTTATGATAATTCAAAAACAGTTATTTATTTGTTACACAAGTTCACGATGAAATTTGTGTCTCTTGAGTTGAAGACCTTGCTTTTGTAAATTTTTTTAAAAAATAGTTGTATAGCTCAAAACACTTACGGAAATTTTACGAAGTGTTTATGCATGAATATTTGTTTTCTGAAAATTTACGAATTGAACAATGTTTAGTTTAATTTATAGTAGAATTTTTGTGTTGAGATTTGATATTAAAATCATGACTTGAGGTAAAATTTATTGGGTTTAGTTTTGTATATATTTGGGGCATGTTTAGTTTATGGGTGAAAATTTAATTCAAGAGCCATAATTTAGAATCAATTTAATTTGGGTTCATATAGCGCATGTTTAATTGTTTGGTCCTATTAATTATGTGAATGGAAGGTACCACTTTGAAAGTTGTTATTATTTATTATATTTATTATAATAAATGTTTGAAATGTTAATTTATGATGTGTTTTATCAATCGAAAAATATATTTTTGTAATGAAACAAATTATATTATTTTATGTTACAAAATATTAAAGTGTTGTTAAAATGATTTTAATTGATGTATATATATATAGATGTTTGTATAAAAAACAATAAAAAATAAATAAAAAAAGGAGGGAACCCACGTGGGGCTACCCCCACCTCTTTTCTTTTTACCTTTTCTTTTCTCCTTCTGCTGCATTTTTCTTTTCCTTCCGAGAGAGTTGGACCATCTCTCTCTCTCTCTCTCTCTCTCCAATTTCCACCATTGTTGCTCAAGATTTGAGCTTACAGTGGGAGTTCTTGGAGGGAGATTTTGCACAATCTTTGTAAAAGGAAGTTGGAGAGCTCGTTGCACTCTTCGCACCAGTAGTCTCGGATTCTTGATCCGGCAAGCTTGCATTTTCAGACTTGCTTTTCATCATATTTGAGGTAGGGATTTCTTTGAGTCTCTTCAATATAACACTATAGATGGATATGTGGTACTTTTTACTGCATGAAAAACATGAGTTTATAAGTAGTTTTTATTTTTTTAAATACATGTAGTTTAGATTTAGGGTTTTGAATCAAATAGTTTAATCTTATCTTTTGTTGTTGATTATGGAAATTTTAAGCTAACAGAACATGTTTATGATGGTTGAAATAAAAAGTCCTAATTTTTAATTTAATGTTTATGAGAATGTAAAGAAAAGATGATTTTATATATATATATATATATTGATTCATGTGAATTTTTTCTTTTTTTTTTCTTTTTTTTTTTTTATGAATAAGAAATGTGAAATGGGAAGAAAAGGAAATTTAAATGGTTGATCTTGTGATGCCTTGGTTAATATGATGAATGGATGCTATTAAAAGTTAGTTGTGAAGTGTAAAATGAAAAACCCTAATTTTTATTTGATGGTTATGTACTATGAAAAAGGGTTAATGTTTATGAATGGTTGAGCTAGGTATTGTCATCGGTAAATTGAAAAATGTGATAGTTGAAAAGTAATTAATAGATGATTGTAATAATTATTGTGAACTAGAAATGGAAAGTAGGGAGAGAATGAAGTAAATGATTATCATGAAATTGGCCTATGTTGTAAATGTTGGTGATCAAAAATAGTGGAATCAATTGTGGACATTACGAGATGGTATAATTGTTAATCTAACTCTAGACAATATTGGTAACATTGAGGTATGGAAATGTTATGAGGATCACACTATCTTGTTTGGCTATTAATATTAAATGCATAGAGGTTTTGTCCTTGGCCATCGGTGGAGAATGGTATTACTGTTGTGGAATTGATGTGAAATAGGTTGATATGAAACCTTATGTGTTGTTGATTAACTGCATAATTACGTAATTATATGTGAATGAATGGAAGGAAATTAAGGTGCACGTGTTATGGAATGTGGTTGTGATATATAGAGGTAACGCGATCCTTCCAGCTTGCAACTGGTGAAGTGGGCTGATGTGCTATATAGAGGTAATGTGTTCCTTCCAGTTAGCACTTGGTAAAGCAGGCTGTGCTATACAGAGGTAATGCATTCCTTCCGGCTACTAACCGGTAAAGCAGACTGACATGGTTCTTGGCGAGACCACGATGGTAATATGGGGCTTGGCAAGGTGACAAGTTGTTTATTTTATTACGAGATTTTATTGCTAATGTGTGTATATTTGTAGAGATTATTATTGACGAAAATATGTATTGAGAATATAGTTGAAATTGTGTTATGAGGTGGATTGATTCTATTGAGAATATCATTGTTATGTTTATTAATGTTGTTTGATGTAAATGAGTAGCATAGGGGTATAAAGGATTAATTGTTGATTTGATTTTGAAAATAAACAACATGATGCGATCATTTGGTTTATAAAAGATAAGTCGTAGAGTTGCCGAAATGGTTATTGTGTGTGATATTTGAGATGTGACTTCGGTTTGGAAACCTTTTGAATTGAAAATAATGAGTTACGAAGGTCTGAAAATGGATTTTTCTTGAAATGATAAATAATGATTCTTTTGAGAAAAGTATACGTATGTAAGTATATTTTGGATATGCAAAACAACACTATCTATGTATATTTATTGAGTGGGAGCATTCATGATCATATATATCTATATTATGCTATTGTTTAGAATCACTAGAATCTCTATTGGACATTAGTGTTCATCCCACGTTGTTAACCGTTTTTTTCTGGTGAGAAGCTTGGAATATTGTTCAAGACCATGGAGTCTTCTTATTTGTTGACCACGGGTCTATTACTTGTAGGCAAAATGCCATCATATTGTAATTGAACAGTTCACGAGAGAGAACATTTATTACATAGCTATTTATTTTTGCTTCCGCTTTTATTATTATGGAAATGGACTGTAATCAGGGATTGGATAATGATATTCGAGTAATAAAATCTGGGGCGTTACAAGGAGGTTCCCGAAAGTCTTTTGTGAATCATGTGAACAAGTCCTAAGTTTTATTTTTATTTCCCTTTGTGATTTTGAACAAGCTTTTGTTTTTTCTGTAAATAGGGCTAAGTCCCTTTTTGTATTATCTGTATATGAATGATGCGTAAATATAACTATGTATATAAAGTTTGATTTTTTTTTTGTCCCATATAAGTCTGCACAACTCAATGTACATTGTATATTTGTTATTTTCTTCCGCTAGCCCCTAATAATTTGATTTCTGTCTAAGAGGCCTTTGGTAATCTTAAGATTACTGGCCAGCTATGATGCTAAACCTATGGGGGCAGGTTTGCGTCGTGACACCATTAGATATTTTTCTAAAAAATTACATCCTCTTTCAGACAAATATGTTCCCAAATCTACCTGCTCCAAGTAATCATACACTGATTTATGAGGCAATCTTAGAACAATTATTTTTTCTGCCAAGGACGGTATTACTGCAAAGGTGGTCCTTCCACAATGAACTAATTTAAACCGAACCCTTGCCAATTATTGAGCTGGAGCATTCATGATTGTATATATCTATATTATGCTATTGTTTAGAATCCCTGGAATCTCTACTGGACATTAGTGTTCATACCACATTGTTAACCATTTTTTTCAAGTGAGAAGTTTATAGTATTGTTCAAGACCATGGAGTCTTCTCATTTGTTGACCACGGGGTCTATTACTTATAGGCAGAATGCCTTCATATTGTAATTGAACAGTTCATCACTGTGCATAAGAGAGAGAACATTTATTGCTTAGCTATTTATTCTTGCTTTCACTTATATTATTATGGAAATGGACTATAATCAGGGATTGGATAATGATATTCGAGTAATAAAATCTGGGGCATTACAACTTTGCATCAGAGCTTACCAGGTTTGAAAACCTGGAGCTCGTGGGAAGTGGTTTTTACCACAATGGGTTTTACTTTGCTTGGTGAGGATGTTGCATATAGATGGATTAGGTGATAGTATATTATGTGTTGCATCTTACGTGAGCACGGGGTTAAGTTTCATGGATAGTGCTTGTTGTTTGTTAACTTGCCTTGAGGTCTCATTGGAAACACGCCTGATCAATGTGGTTTCTGGTGAGAATTCTTTGCGAGTTTCGGGACAAGTTGCCATCCTCGTGAACTTGACTCGATTACATGATTAAGTGTTTGAATTGTTCATGTGCAATGTGATTAAGTGATTTTGTGCTAGGTATGTCTTGCAACTTAGAGGTGGTAGATGAGTGCCTCGAAGAAGGCTAAAATATCGTTCATTAAGTTTGGTTTTGTCTTTGATAGGATGTTTGCAGGAGGGAGAAGAGGGCGTGTTGGGAATAGAAGGATCGGTAGAGGCACAACAGCTCCAGTAGCACCCACTTTTGCAGCACCGGCTATGGGTGAGGAAATTGCACACGAGATAGTAAGGGCAATGAGGGATGCCCTAGCTCACAATGAGGAGGACAACACTCGTACCCTCACGCTTACAAAGAAGGTCTTCCGCTTTAATCCACTGGAGTTCACAGGAGGGCCTAATCCATTAGAGGCCGATGATTGGTTGGAACAAGTCACTAAAACTTTGGAGATGCTAGGCATTATGGATGACTGGCTGAGGGTTGCACTAGTGAGTTTCCGACTGAAAGGAGACGCCGGGTATTGGTGGAAGTATGCTAAGACCACTATAGGCACTACTTGGGTTGCTTTCACCAAATCCTTTTTAGCCAAGTATTTTCCTCCCTCTGAACGGGAAAGATTGAGGACACAATTTGTTGAGTTGCGCCAAGGCACTACTCCTTTGGCACAATTTGAGGCAAGGTTCACTAGCCTGTCTAGGTTCTCTCTAGAGTTGGTGGTAACGGAGGAGCAGCGTTGTATTGAGTTTGAGATAAGATTACACGATGATATTCGGGGAATGGTGGCAGGGTCCTTGCATAGGAACTATCATACACTTGTAGAGGCAGCGACTCACATAGAAGCTACCAATCTAGATATTGGTCGGGATAGGGAGGAGGCCATATCGGCAATCCCTACGGTTCGAGGGTACAGTAGGCCTAGTAAGCAGCAGAGGAGAGCAGGGTTCTAGACCCAATCAACACTTATACTACCAAGACCATCTAGTTAGACGGGGCATGTGGTGGCTAGTTGCTTACAGGGGGAGCAGTCACCAAAACCACTACTTATTTAGGCTCCAGGTCAATGTCAAAGTGGAGAGTTACCTGTTTGTTTCAAGTGTGGCCATCTAGGACACATCAGGCATCATTGTCCATGTCATAAGAGTTCTCAAAATGCTTCGGGTTCTAGGCGGACCTAGTCTTAGTAGCCCAGGCAGGGGTAGAGACATTGGCAAAATTGCAAAATATTTTGTGGTCTTGCTATTATGGCGTTATATTATAGTGATGTATTGGGAATTGTGCCAACTTTTGATATGTATGTATGATTGTATGTTTAACCCAAAGAGTGGGGCATGTAATGAATTATGAATTTTCTTAACTTGATAGGTCGCCATTGAATGTTAGTAATTTTGCATTGTTGAGAATATGTTGATAGATGCGGGTGCGTCGTGTTAAATTATGACTTGTGTATGTGTAATTTCCTCAAGAATTGAGTATGGACTTACTTGGAAGTCCCTTTTAATTATGAAATTGTTTGTTGGGTTGGTAGTTTGCATCATTGTGATTGGTTCTAGTGGCTCAAACAAAAAAATAAATAAACAATAAGAATAATAATGTTGTTGTTTACTTGAATGTGTATGGATTGAGGTAGCATGCCTTTTAGGGAATTTGCAAGTATTATGAGTACTTCTTATAGTTAAGTTAGGGGCACTTGGATGTGGTGTTTGGACCTAAAATAGTTGGCCCTGAGATTGGCATCCATGTTAGTCTTTGGTTAGGCTTGCGTTAGCATGATTAGGTGAGTCTATTGTTGACCTTGTTGGTCTCTTTGGGGTTGATGTTGGTAAATGGTGTAAGGTGTAGATGGTCACCTTGTTCGAGATTGTTGGTTGTGTCGGGAGAGGTCAACGAGAAGTCACTTCAAAATTATTTTGGCCTTGGACAATGAGATGTGAGATTATAGAAATTTTTGTGTTATTCATAGGAGTGGCGAGTCTTACTAGTGTGGGTGTGGTTGTTTCTTTTGGTTGGTGTGGAATTCCTATGATTGGGATGACGTAAGATTTCTTTTGTGAATATGAATTTGGTAATAAGCGGTTAATAAGTAGTATTGGTGATTGTGATGGGATGAGACTCCCAAAATTTATATCACTGTCTGTGCATTGTCATTTATAAGCACGGTTAATACTGTTATGGACTGCTATTGTAGAGACATTGTGTTTGAGTTATGGCATCACCGTAGTAGTGATGTATTGTTGGATGTAAAGGTATCATGTTTGCATATGTTGTGTATATGTTTGTTTATCTCAAGGAATTGAGAACTTATGAATTTCTTTGACTAAGAAGTTGTAACTTGGTATACTTTATATGCAATGCCTGATGGTTTTCATGAAAACTTTATTTTGTGAAAGACTTTTGTTCTTGTTTGGGAATTGAAAACCTTTTGAAATAATTGGTACTTGGTGAGAATCTGTACACCTTTTGAGGAAACTCATGCTTAAATGGAAAATTTTCAAAAAAAAAATGAGAAAATCCAATTGTGTGAATATTTGTTATTAGTAACTTAATCTCTTCAACATCTTTTATGTGATGAGTTGAGCATGGGTTGTCAATCATGATGTGACGTGTTTTGTTTGTAGTAGAAAATATGTTCTTAATGTTGAGTAGAATTTGTTTCGCCGATGGGCCGTTTTGAACCTATTAACGATGTTAGTACCACTAAATTACAAGCCTGAGTTCTTTGATAAACTCTTTCTTCCTTGTGAGTTTGGGTTGGAATTTCTAGGGTGTAAATGCGAGAGCTTAATGAGGTTTGATACTACATATTGGAGGTTGGTTATTGCGTTGGACCATAGTTGAGGTGTTCATTATGTTAGTGTATGATAGTAGGACTGATTGCTTTGAATTTGAGTTTCGTAAACCTCGGTAAATTCCTTATGGGTTGCTAGAGACATTTGTAACCATTCTTGTTTGACCTTGTTGCCATGGACCCATACATAATGGGAGACTCCAACCATGATTGACTAAAACCCTTGCTACCCTTGAGGAGGAGTCGAAAAAGTGACTCACCATTCCGTTGTTGAGTGATCCGTGTAGTTTGGGTGTTGTCGGGGGCACCAATGTTTGAGACCGGCATTTGGAGAATTGTCCTAGATATTGAATTTAACCCTTAGGCAGTGGAGGTAATTTGCATTTGTAGTTTTCTTGCCCATTTTCTTATTGTATTACTC